CCTACACCGGGTCAGGATCATCAGTATCACTCTTTTCTTCCTCCACATCTTATCCTACTGAAAGTAACATGAATGGAGCTGTCTATTCCTATGATAACTGCCTTTTTCTGGAATACTTATAATTATCTAGTATTATGTCAGTACATCATTTTAAGCGCTATGCTTGTATATGACTGGCAGCCCAGTAGGTTTGTTTACACCAGCATTACCACAGACATGAGTAATGTGTTAGACTACAAGTTATGAGGGCTACAAAGTCAATAGGAATTTTTCAGCTGCATTATAATCATCTGAGACCAGTATCATATGTGCAGTCGCTATTGAACTAAATGTTATGTACTATGTGACTGTAGCTGATGAATCTTTGATTATGGCTGAATGTTCTCATTCATTGCAGGAAAAAAAATATCCTCCAAATTACTAGGATGTGAGTGACCAAAACTTTGTTCCGTTTTATGTTGGAGCCAAATAATTAGTGTTAGGATAAATTACTTCTTTAAAGTATGTATGTGCTCTAAAATGAAAAGTATTTCTGAACATTAAAGCATAGATATTAAGAGTATAAAAAACAAGATACAGATTTTGGTGTGAAATGTATTTTAATGATTCAAATCATAATTTAAATAGAATCGAAGATGATGTGAAATCACTGGGCTGGAAGTCGCTTATACCTTGATTAGTAAGAGAGGAAGCCTGGGATCATCCTGTGATAGTAAACACTTTTTTATGTTTTACTTATAACTGTGTCAGGAAATTTCAACAAACCTCATATTAAAGGACATGATTTCTGTATACTTAGTAATTCGCTATGCAAACTGTTGCATTGAAATGGCAGACTAAGCAAGACGATTGGGAGAAAGTAGCTGTGGGACTTGAGGAAAATAAACAGGAAAACTGCAGAATGTGGAAGGAATAATTGCATTCATTGTATTACTATCTGATTTATATTTTATGAAACAATTTGATTTCTTAATTTTTCAATTTGAAGCACAACTTTTTTAACTGGTGTGGCAGCTTTTTTGGTAAGTGGTAGATTTATATTAGAAGCATGTCTATGCAGCATATTATAGCATTAAATATGTATATAGATATCTAACTGAAGTAAAAAGTGTTTTAGTAATTAAAAGTTTAACGTATGGGCATATGTGAGATATAGTGATATAGCATGTCTCTTTAGTTTTGCTGTTTTTGTTGTTGATGACTAACCACCCATGCTTGTCTTAAAAATTGATAAGGTACCTCTGATGAAATTATGACCAGGTGGGCCCGAGTTAGTACCACATGTAACAAGAGACCCTTGCCTGCAACATCATGGGAGGACATGAAGAAGGGATCCTTTGAGGGAACAAGCCAAAACCTACCAAAGCATAAACAACTTGAAGCCAATAGGCTATCCCTCAAAAATGATGCATCCCAAGCAAAACATAAAAAGAAAAAGAAAAAGGAGTACTTAAATGAAGATGTGAATGGATTCATGGAATACCTAAGACAGAATTCACAGATGGTTCACAATGGGCAAATTGTAGCAACAGACAGTGAGGAAGTAAGGGAAGAAATTGCAGTTGCTTTAAAGAAAGACAGTCGACGGGAAGGAAGAAGATTAAAAAGACAAGCGGCAAAGAAAAATGCAATGGTGAGAGCATCGCTTCTACCATGTTATTTACTTTATTTAGCTGGAAACTATTCTTTTTTTTTTTTGAGACGGAGTCTTGCTCTGTGCCCCAGGCTGGAGTGCAGTGGCGCAATCTCGGCTCACTGCAAGCTCCGCCCCCCGGGTTCACGCCATTCTCCTGCCTCAGCCTCCCAAGTAGCTGGGACTACAGGCGCCCACCACCACACCTGGGCTGGAAACTATTCTTATACTCACATACATATATATCTTAGCAGGATCTGGTTACCATTATGTCCCAGATTCATAGAGCATCATTTTAAGGACTAGTACTTTTTTAGCACATATATACTAGGCACATGATGTACTGGTTAATTATCACAACAACACAGCAAAGGTGATGGCATTATTCCCATATTATGGATGGCAAACACTGAAGTGCAGACAGATTAAATAACTTGTGAAAGCCACTTAGCTAGTAGCAGAGGTAAAATTCAAACCCAGCCTGACTTCAAAACCTATGTTATAGACCAGATGTGGTAGCCCGTGCCCGTGATCCCAGCACTGTGGGAGGCTGAGGCAGGAGGATCACTTGAGCCCAGGAGTTAAAGAGCAGCCAGGGCAACATAGGGAGACCCCATCTCTACCAAAAAAAAAAAAAAAAAATTAGCCAGGTGTGGTGGTACACACCTGTGATCCCAGCTACTACCGCCAGCTGAAGCAGGAGGATTGAGCCTGGGAGGTCAAGGCTACAGTGAACCATGTGATCAACCGCTGCATTTCAGTCTGGGTGACAAAACGAGAGTTTGTCTTCCAAAAAACCCAAAACCTATCCTCACCTTCCAATAGCCCCTTTTTCAAATTAGCATTGAGAAAATGCCAAAATTATGAAGAAGATAAAGTACAACAGATTAAATGTGTGTGGGTCCCTATTACTTGGAAAGGATATTCTTTATCTATGAAATACTGAAGCACAGGAAAGAGGTACATAGGAGTCACACTAGTTAGAGCAGAGTAATAGCAGAATTAAGTCCTTGACACTCCCTAGTCATTGCTTCCTCCCTCCCCCATATTACATTCAGAGGAATGCTGGGGGCAGCAGGTTTCTTTCTGTAATGCCTAGCCCTAGATTTTAAAGTATGTCAGGCAAAGGGGATGAAATACTCACTATAATTATTTCCCTTCTCTAAGTGAGTTTCCCAAGTCTCCTAGCACGCCACTTCATAAGAATGAAGACTTGTTGCTAGTTATACTTTTATTTTTTATTAGTATTACTATATGTAGAGCACTGTTTGCACCAATGCAGGCTTGAAATGTTAACAGCCTCTATAAATGTGTCTTTTGGCTGTTTGCAAGATTAGTCTATGCATTGTTCTATTTAAAGATAATTATTTAGAGATAATACTGATGAAACATTCCTTATGGATAAATTTGGATAGAAAGGATAACATTTCTATTGGTATCAGGATAGAGTTTTGTCTAAGTTAACTATTTTTAAATATTTTAAGTCAGTTTAGTTGACATAGGTAGTATGGTGAATTGCATACCATTTGAAAACATTTACTGTTATGATCTCTTAAGCATTATGTTTGTAATTAAGTGGGGAAGGATATTGTTTTTTAAAAAGGGGAGTGCTATATAAATAGTATATGGCTTGTTGTGACCTGTTGTTAATTTACTTCCTTGCTATTTTTTTTAATACCTTATACTAAGTATCAGTCCTTAAATGCTAATAAACTGATTATGCTATTGAAATTTACAATCAGCGCTTCACAATCCCATCTACATTAAACTTAAGGACCATTCAAAAATGTTGTAGTAAGTGATGATTAGGTTTTAAAGGAGAAGGCTGTGAACTAAGGCAGTAGTCTCAGCTTAATAGAGACCACTTTGACTTCACCAAAAAGCCAAGACTTCTATGGTGGTGATGCAGGTTTTAGCAGTAGCTTTTCCTGCATTTGTATAATAAATGCAGCTTCTTTTTTTTTGGACCAGCTCATTCTAAATGTACAAGTTACTGAAGAATTTAAAGGGACTCATTCTTTTTCAGTATTTTATTAAGTAGGAAAAAAAGGACAGAGTTGCAAAATAAATGTTTTATTTTGCCGGTTGAATTTGCTTTTTAAAAAAACCTGTGCTTATTTTGAAAAACATAATTAAATGAATATTTATTATCCAAGAAATATATATATCTTTTTCCAGCTTAAATAAAATAGTTTAAATATCTGCCATCTTTGATTATGGTTGATGTTCTCATTTATTGCAGCAAAAAAATTCTTCAAATTTCTGTAAATAACTATTACTCAGTTTTATGTTGGAGCCAAATAATTCATCTCAGAGTAAATTATTCCTTTAAAATGTATTGTGCATATATTCTAAAAATGAAACCTATTTCTGAATATTAAAGAATGTGTATGGCCAGGCGTGGTGGCTCACACCTGTAATACCAGCACTTTTGGGAGGCTGAGGCAGGTGGATCACCAGGTCAGGAGATTGAGACCATCCTGGCCAACATGGTGAAACCCTGTCTCTACTAAGAATACTAGAATTATCTGGGCGTGGTGGCTCGTGCTTGTAATCCCAGCTACTAGGGAGGCTGAGGCAGGAGAATAATTTGAACCCAGGAGGCAGAGGTTCCAGTGAGCCAAGATCACGCCACTGCACTCCAGCCTGCTGACAGCGAGATTCCATCTTAAAAAAAAAAAAAAGTGTATTTAGGGTACAAAAACAAGGATATACTTTTTGCTATGAAATATATCTTATGGTTTGAATCGTAACTTGAATGGAAACATTTGACCCAAATTCATTCAATTATGTGAACTTTAAAAAAAATATTAATTTTTTAAAAATTTTGAGTACGTAATTATACACAAATACAAATTTTGAGTGATAATTTTTATAGCCACTGCCCATTTCCTATAGAAAACACCATTTTTCTACTGCAGACATTCCAGTTATAAAATGAATAGTCCATATTTGCTCAATTCATTTAAGCAATTGCCTTCTACAAAGCCACATATATAACATTGTTCCTGAGATTGATAGATTTATCGATTGAGGTTTTCAGAAGCAATGAAACCCTCTGATGGAAAGGACATCTCATTGTTTAGGAATGTATGAAACCTTTTTTCTACAAATAAAATATTGAGATTTCAGAAAAAGAGCTAAATAAGATGAGAAATGTTTTAAATATGTTTTTGATAACAAGAATTAATAAAGTCACTGGTATAGTTTTGCAGTGTCCAACCCACATTTTGTTTTCCCAGGTGTGTTTCCATTGTAGAAAACCTGGTCATGGAATTGCAGATTGCCCTGCCGCCCTTGAAAATCAAGACATGGGCACTGGGATATGTTACAGGTGTGGGTCCACAGAGCACGAAATAACCAAGTGTAAGGCTAAAGTAGACCCAGCTCTTGGTATGTGTTTCTTTCAGTGTTTTGCTTTGTTCATGGGGAAAGCCAATAAATAGCACCCTAGGTATATTTTTAACACAATTTGTTAAGAGTGTGCCGCTTAGTATTTGGAAATCATATGAGATTAAATTTTAAGTTATGTAAAAATATTTTTTATTCAGTGTTAATGTGAATTTTATGACTTGCCATATGTATTGTCAACTGAATAGGAACTGTTGATTTTTACAGGCGAATTTCCTTTTGCAAAATGTTTTGTTTGTGGAGAAATGGGGCACCTGTCTAGATCTTGTCCGGATAATCCCAAAGGCCTCTATGCTGATGGTAAGTACTGTTACCCTCATATAGCAGAAATGGTGAGTTATCGTGCAGTTGTGATTTAGTTTACACTCAATCAGTTCTTGAATAAATTCTTGAATAAATTGCAAAACCTTGAGAATTACATTATTTTTATCAAGTGCTATTATATGTACTGGGCTTTTTGTGCAGTTTGACTTCATATGTTAATAAAACAAATCAGAAAAAACTAAGGTGTGTATTTCCAACTGTGCTTGCTTCATCATTTGTGAGACTATTATACATTTCTACTTTTAGACATAACAGAAGCAGAGGTATTATATATATCTCAAGCTAATATGAGGTTTTTAAAATCGTATTATATATTCAGCCTCAGCCAGCATACCATTTTGGTGGAAGGGTGGGTACACATGATTCAATACTGTAGTAATGTTTGCGTCTGAATTTTTTTTCTTAGTTATTTGTCTGGCATGGGATTATGTAGCTTTTTTCTCTTTAACTTGGGTAATTAAGGTTCACACAGTAAAGTCTATGCAGTCTAAAGCTTTAAGGAGGAGGCTGTTATCTGTTGATGTGATGGCTGGTGCCATCAGGCTCTAGACATTTCTTGTGTCGTGTCCTGGGTGTCCCCCTGGAGAAGTCCAGTGAAAAGCGTAGCTTTTGGAGTTGGTCAGACTTGGGTTATAGTGCCAGCACTGCCACTCACTAGCTCGGGGGCTTTGGCC